GCTATTGGCGAATCAACTATATGTGTAAATCACCTTTAAATTACCTCCCCGATTCACGACTTTCGTGCGTTTAGTATATCTTTCACTTCTCAAGGATAGTAAGCAGTGAAAAATGACTTCTGGTTATCCTCATCCTGTACAGAAGAAAAATAATCAGTAGGAATGGGTTAGTGGTTGGATGATGTCAAAGATCACAATTAGGACAGCTTCAAAAGGTTTTAATAGATGTGTAATCGTCAGTCTAATGTTGTGCTAAGACAGATATGAAGACTATTCCTAGAAGAGGAATACGGACACCAAATGTTACAATTCAATACTGGAGGCACATTCAGTTGTCTCCAGGTTACTTCAATACAAAACATTCATATATGCATGAACCCGATGCATGCATTGGGTTGGAGACGGTAGCCTTTTTGCGGCCCACCTGTTACGTGTTTTCGTGTTATCTTGAACACTGCTAATACCAATCATCTAGGTGAAAATGGCATAGTTAATTCGACTTTAGATATGATCAGTAGAGATACATAACCGAAACAATGACCCCTTTAAGGGCCAGAAACTGATCGGATGAGCCTTCGAGTATACCAACTAAACAATGTAGAAATGTTGAGACATAAACGTGACTTCCTGGCCAGAAACCAAAAGGGAAACAACACTGACGTCACCTTGCAGGAGACACAGGCTGATGACAGCACACGGAAGGAAAATTACACAATAAATTGGAACACCCTTGTTGTTGCTGCTGCTGCACCCATCTACCATCCTAAACATGGCCTCACCACTTTCATCAAAGCCCCTAAATAAGGAATGTCTATCAACACATCTATCAGCAGCCACTCAGCCAGCAAATATGTGGGTGACTTCATTAGACACCACATACAATAGGGCTACTCAGAGAATGAAGCCAGAGGGAAACTCGAGGAATAGTAGTCAGCACAAGCCAAGTTCCTTATATACGACCCTACACAGCCAGGCACGTTTCACTCAGCCTGATGTGTGCAGATGACATAGCCCTTGCTGCACGGGGCACGAACCTCCTCAAAAACGTTGCCAATACTATTCTATGGGTCTTTTGGTAAAGTCACGTAGATAGGTTCAAGTAAAATACCAAAAAACTACGACATTTCGATGATGACCGCTTGTGTTGCGATCAAAACGTCGTAGTTTTTGTTATTTTGTTATTTTCTTTGAATCCATCTACGTGACTTTACCGAAAGGCCCCTATAATATGAATTCCTGCAGTCACGAAAGCTTTAAGTCAAGATTGCCAATACTCTTAACAGCTGATCGCTGGTGACCCTGACCAAATCCTTACAATACCACCACCAGCGCTTTCCACTTGAAGAATCATGCTGCAGATGCCATCCTTGATAGGTCTTTCGGTAGCCTAGTGCACTATGACCCCCACTCAAAAATATGTAGGGCTTATCATAGACAGAAGCCCGAACCTTCAAGCCCCACACAAAACAGATCGGTGAAAAGACCAAATCAATAATTGACCTGTGAGAGAAACTAGCAGGAACGACCTGGGGCACTTCAGCTGATGTGCTCCAAACTGTCGCCCTCTCACTGATCAACTCGGTGGCAGAGTATTGAGCTCCAGAATGCTGGCGAACAGAGTGGAACAACAAGGAATACACAGAATAAACACCTGATCCGAGACCCAAGCATCGCACCTCCTGGTGTAGACATTCCTCAAAGACACTGGTGGAACCATCAACCGCATCAGAACATCAAGAGGCCGATGCATATATCTCTTGAATAAATGGAAACTTAAAGACAAGCCAGTGTGACTGTGGCCATTCAACTCAATGCACTGTGTGTAGTCTGTGTCCCTTCAATGCAGGAATAGCAAAACTACGTAACTCTCTTTTGAAACCCTCTCGTGGCTAGCAGACCTCGACATTGGCATTTAGCTCCTGAACATATTTCCACATGCACGGATAGAATAGAATGCACCGCGCCACAATTGATTAACCACATAGAGCAAACTCCAATACATGTCTAAGGTTTAAGCTCTTAAAAAAGCACGTAATTTTGATGTGTGCTCTTCATAATAATAATAATTACTATAATTACACTGAAGGATTAACTTAGGGTTAAGGTGTTCAAACGTGCATTTTGATCTCAAGTATAATTATGGCTTTTTATAAATTGAGCAGCGTGCTCATGCATATTTAAGCAGGGCAATGGATTAAAATTGGATGAATTAAAATCCTTAAATGACCGCTTTTGTATGCCTTTGACACAATACGTATGTGTATTTCGCATTTAATTAAAATTGTTTTTACAAAATAACGTCTTCTCATTGAATACATTTTTTTCATCGTGTTTAAATTTGTTGTTATATACATATATTGTGGATGTGTCTCTGTATCCTTAAAAATGCAGCAGAGATATACCCCTGCTATGACGTGGAAGCAAATTAATAACGTCCAAAACAGCATCGAGTTTCAATCAATTGTTCTGGGTTTTTAAATGAATTAAAATTGACTCAAAAATGAAAGTGATTTCCTGCTGCAAATGAGCATTGAGGCATTGGCGCTCATCTCCTGATAACAGCACTGCTAAGCCAGTGGTGGGAATTCAACGATCGTGAAATATGCTAACGATTTGTCAAGGCCTTCACCCAGCAGTGGATGTTTCGTGGCCGATGCTGATGATGATCCAAATGCTAAATATTGGAAAACATTTACAAAGTTACGCGTTCATTATCTTTAAGCCAAATAAAAAAATACATATAGGGTTATAATTAAATACATGTTAAGGCACTTCAGCAGAGTCTGCAAGCAATGATACTTGTAAGGAAGGCTTGCATTAAGCAGTACTCTATATTGACGATAATGATGAAGATGATGTATTATATATACAGGAGTACATCACCAAAGTATTACAATATTAAAAATAAACTGTGCTCATGATATATGATTTCATTTATCACTTCAAATGTCAAATATTAATACGAAAAATTATATAGAGGTAGGCCGGTGGTTCATGGGTTCAAATATGGAAATCCACCCATAAAAAATTAACCCGTAAAAACAAAGTTTTTCACTATAAATCCTTTATATGCGTGGCGGCTAGAGTCATCTCGTCCTCTGGCTTGAGATGGCTGCCACCTATGGGTCAGATGATTGTCTGCCACCATTAAGCAATTGGTAATTAAATATTCAAAACATTTTCCCTAAACAGTGTAAAATTTTGGAAAACATTTTCACTAAAATTAATTGTCACGCACAACGAGTCTGTGTGCAAAATGTCAGCTCGATTGGATGACGGGAAGTGGGTTAAAAACGACCGAAAGATTTGCATGGTCGTAACCAAGCAAGCACGCAAACACGCAAGCAAGCAAGCAAGTGAACTTAATATAAAGGATTTAAAAAATTAACCCGTAAAAACTAAGTTTTTCACTATAAATCCTTTATATACGTGGCGGCTCGAGTCCTGTCGTCCTCTGGCTTGAGATGGCTGCCACCTATGGGTCAGATGATTGCCTGCCACCATTAAGCAATTGGTAATTAAATATTTAAAATTTTTTCCCTAAACAGTGTAACATTTTGAAAAAAATGTTCACGAAAATTAATTGTCACGCACAACGAGTCTGTGTGGAAAATGTCAGCTCGATTGGATCACGGGAAGTGTGTTAAAAAACGACCAAAAGATTTGCACAGTCGTAAGCAAGCAAGCACGCAAGCACGCAAGCAAGCAAGTGAACTTAATATAAAGGATTTAAAAAGACAATGGGTTCTCTAGTTTAATGAATTGATTGTCGAGGTCTGGTCTCTAATGACTACTAAAAAAGCCCATTTTGTTAAAGTTGTTTTCTCACTTAATTGAGCTAAAGTCCAGGTCTAAAAATGTTTTTTGAGTTTGCCTGCCACACTACAAACATTTCTCCTGAGCTGGGCATATGCAAAAGAGCAGTGTGCCCCTACTGTTGATGAAAGAGGTTCCTTGAAGAGACATGAGAAATACAAAACAATACAACTTGGATTTGTTTAGTGTATAAATGTCATCGCAATTCAGAACACAGTCCTTCTGTGACATGACCTTCCGTATCTATTCTCAGAAACTGGGTATAATCAAAATTGGTGGTGGTGATTTTAAATTTAGGTCCGTTTTGAACTAAATCCCCCTGGATTTGCTAAAAATAATAATTGTTTTGTTTAAAATCAAAAGCAGGTATCCTATGGATATACTGCTCCTACCATGGTAATGTGGAGTTGTTTTACGACTGGCACAGGATCCACCAGTCGAGATGAGCACCCCCGCCCTTGATTTTTTTAGTAGAGAAATACTTTAACTTGAACGAATATATCTTTGAACTTGATGCACTCAGCTAATTTATACATTGCATGGCAAATTGTCATGAAGGATTAGAAATATCAACAGATAATTGGCAGTGCAACAACACTAATTACATCGGATTTCTAAACCATCATTTAAAAACATCATTAGGTTAATTAGTTTGTTATTTATATAATATTATTTATTTATTTCTCTATGTAATAATATGCCTGTTCGCCTGTCTGTCAACGCACCAGGATATGCAGGAAAAGAAAAACAAGTTTGGCCGGGTGGCCGAAAGGGTCGGGGGTTGGAGGGGGATGTTGGGGGGGGGGGGATATGAGATGGACAGAAGGGGTTGATTGGGCTGAGATGGAGATGGAGGAGCTGATGACCTCAGAGACACTGGGGTGTTGGGCAGAGGAGTACTTATGTCACGCAAGATTGGGGTAATGTTGTGAGGAGGGGAGGCAAGGTGGCAGAGAAGTGTGATGACGTCAAGAGGCACTGGGGAGGTGAGGAGAGGTGTGATGACTTCCTGTTCCTGCTAGTTATTATAAACATATTTGCCACTAACTTATTGCACAATATGGAATTGCCTGTGAGATGGCCTGTCTGAATGTATGTTATTGTTGCATACAGTAAAGCACTGTGTATAAGTAATGAAAACAAATAGTATTAATACATATTCAAAATAATAAAGAAAATAAAACCTTCAACAAAGAGGAAAAAGCCATGCTTGTTCTTCTGCAGGATCTTCAGACTCTTTTCCACCATTTCTACCAGGGACGGGTCATTCCGCTCGAGGTGGCTGGGAGCCCATCCCATATGTCCCGGCTCAAAGAGCCCTGGAAAGGGAAACGCACAACACTCCTTTCCATTATTGACATTATGACAAGTTAAGGCAACTCAATAAATTCCCACACTGGGACATCTGGGAGATCTGTTGCAGAGATCATTGGCGATGTATACCAACATATGGTCACCATTATGCATGCTTTAGCCAAAACTGATTTCTCTCATTCCTCCTTCCTTTCTTCTTTGCCATCATCTTCTGTTCTCCGCTCTTTCTCCACCTACCTTGCATAGCTCTCTAGTTCCTCTTGCATTTCCACATATGTTTAGGGACTACAGATTGATATATCTTACTTGTGTCCTCTCACTCGTATTACTGTTCCACCAGACTTTTATATGTTTTTGTTGCTTAAAAGCCTAAAATAAAAGATAAAGTCCTGCTGTGTGTGTATACTATATAGAAAGCATGGGCCAGCTTTAGACGAGTTTATTTTTCCAAAAATACATTTGTTAACTTCACAAATCCTAATCTCACCTTTTTCATCACAAAATATTCTCTAGTCAGATTGGTGTAGTGCTCTTGACAGATCAAAATGTGAGAATAGTTGTGAAAGGGGAGAGGAGAATAGACAGAAAACTGCAAATTCGACATGCCATGTCGACTGGTGAAAACATGTGTGAATGGCTAGAACACATTGCTATTAAGGATGTTAGCCAATGGACGAGAATAGTGATTGATTGGTGGCCAAAGGAGGGAACATGTCCTAGAGCACAACTACCTCAGAGATGGAGGGATGAGATCAGGTCATGGGTTAGAAGCCAGAGGGATTGTGGCGTTGTTGATGGCAGTTTATTTATGTGGGTGAATGTGTGCGGTGATTTAATCTGGCTACAAAAGGCTCTGCGGCAAGTCTGGTCATATCACAATTGAAAAGTTCCAAGTTAAAATTCCATTCATAGCTCAGCTCAGCCAACAATCCTACTATGGTCGATAAAATAGGTAGTAATTTGTGAATGCATCCCTGCTATGATGTGGAATTTCTACAGCTGGCTCAGGATTGCCAATGTACATGACATAGCTCCAATGTTAAATTGAACATTTGAACCATTTGACTTGACTTGATTGGTATCGTTGTTAAATATTTTACACTTACATTTTGTTTTTCATTCTTCACCTGAAGACGGCTGCTTGCGTTGTAGCCGAAACGTCGTGAGAATTATTTTATTATGTTTTATTTTTATTATTTTATTACTTCCCTTCTACGTGACTTTACCGAAAGAACCAAGAAGACTTACATTTTTTGTTATATACTAAGGCTTACTCTTTGGTTCTTTCGGTAAAATCACGTAGAAAGAAAATAAATAAAACAATAGAATACGACGTTTCGATTGCAACACAAGCAGTCGTCATCAGGTAGAACTAAATTTGAGAGAGAGACAAAACACAGAAACGGAGACACACAGACAGACACACACACAAGCAGAGAGAGACAACACAGAGACACACAGAGAGAGACACACAACATAGACACACAGAGACCACTTACTAAGGCTTAAATACTGATTACATTGTTAATTATGGTTAAACAAAGACATTCAATATAACTGATAACATCTAATACGTTACTCTTTAACTCTCGGTTCAATGAGAAGAGAGGAAAAAATACAAATGTATGTGCAGCTTTTGTGATCCATGTCAAGGGAAATAATTTGGCTTAAGGATAATTTACAATTGTTGGCAAAAGAATGAGTAATATGGATTAAAGTTTCCCCATGGCAGGTGTTGGCTATAGATTAAATGAGAAGCATCTGCTTACATTATTTTCACACTTCTGGTCAAGAGTAAAAAAACGAAATTAAGCATGAATTCAAATGTGATCATGTCTAGGCTCTCCAGGAGGCAAGGAGACATTGTAAACGCGACAAGGGAGCTGTCTGCCCTGAAGTTACCAATGACATGAAACAACCTAGATCATGGTTTTGAAATGCTTTTTCACGAGGCTTGACTTTTTTTTCTTTCACGGAGGGCTATTCAAATTCAGGAAGATATCACCATCGCGCGGACACACTAAACAATAGACGACATCCCAGAGGAAGGGGAATACTCTGCGGATTATTGCCAACAGCTGTGCCAATTCACAAAGGCAGCGACTTCACATGTGAGCGGCATAACTGCTGATTGCAGAGCAATATGACGCGCGTAGGGCCATTATTAATGAAAAAGAGTTCTTCTCGTGACACTTTTGCGTACAATAAATCTCCATGCGACAGATTTATTTGGAATTGGGAATTAATATTACCACGCTCGTATTAGGTTAGCAGGATGTAGCAGATGTTTCATTATTGGCTTAATAGATAAAGGAAACTATTTGTAAGGTTATACACCGCCGGCTTTATTTTGCATTAATCACACTGGCATGTGTTTTTATTCTCCACTACTTTCCGAACCAAATCACATTAATTGAGAAAAATTTAAAGACGAGTTTGATTTTTACTTGCAAAGATAATTTACATTTAGATGTGTTGATTAAATACACATCTATATTTAGTACAAATGCACTTTAAATGTCAATGCAATTCATTGCATTTCCAGCAATAATTTGTGCAATGTTTTTTTTACCAAATTGACCAGATTAAAACGACTGCTTTAACAATTCTAGGCTTGCAAAATAAAAATAACTGACTCTTCTGCATAGATTTGTTAAGCTTTGGTGTAACTGACCAATATGTTTGAATACATACCAAGCAGGTAATTCGTGTCCTCGGGGTTAATATTTTCAAAGTCCTTCTTTGTCCAAACGTAGTCAGATTTTTTACCCCACGTGCGAGCAAGCCACTCATGCACGAGGTTCCGTCCATCCTGCCTCTTTCCCACGTGCGTCTCTGGGTATTCAGGATCCTTCACAGAGCTCGGGAAAAAATTACTCCGACCGCCACCAAGAATGACCTGCGAACGCACAATGGATGCGAGTTAATACACTGCGTGCATGTTGCGCTCTAAAGAAGCATGCATAAGCGACCCTTGAAGAAGGTGTATCACACCACAAACAGAAGACAAATTTTGTGAAATTGTATGTCCATTGATCCCACTATCACTGGGGTATGTCACCACCCCATGTCAAATAACGAATAATTATAATGCAGTAAAAACGGAACCCGCACGTCCTTTGGACGTGTCCGTCTGCCCGACCCTCCCAGCCAGCCAGCAAAATGTAAAATGTACATAGAGCCCTGTCTCTCCACCTTTATCTTGCCTTCTATATTGTATGTCGCAATTTATATCAATTTCTAGCTGTCTCTGTTTCTCTATTCCCCTGCCCCCTCTTCTAACTCCACTCTATCTCACCCCCTTCCCCTCTCTCTCTGCCTGTTTATATCTCTCGCCCTCACTCTCCTAATTCACATCTCTCCCTTTTCTATCTCAATCTTTCTCACCCCTACTAATCCTCTCTCCCAATGCTTGCCACGTTCCCTCGTCGACTTTCCGTTTTGCTCTCTCTTCTCACCAATTCATGCCCTTTCACCCTCTCTCCGCCCTACTCATATCCGTCTCTTCCTCCTCTATATCCCTATCCTCCCACCCCCCATCTCTCCTCTGTCTTCCTCATCTATCTCCCTCTCCTCCCTCCCCCATGCCTCTATCCTGCTCCTTCAACCCTCCCCCTCTATTCTCTTGCATTTGCACGGGATCCACGGGTGGATGGGGGGGGGAGATGCGTGACGTTAGCACGCTGTGGGTGACACCATCACACAGACACGACCGTAGACCGTACCTACCGTGCACGCGCAGCTGGGCGAGCGTCACCCAGACGGACAGGAGTCCAACCAGATTATCGAGCCAGAAAAATTAAAGCTTTGTTCTAAGAAAGTATGATAAGTAAGAATCAAACGTAAGTTTGATATTCACAATAAAGTTTTTTTTTAGGTTAGATCGCATAACTGTAAATGTATCGTTAAACCCGCCACCACCCAACACAGACAATTAGTAAGATTTGCGACGTATACAAAACATGCCAATCAGTTACTACTTCAGCACACCGGTGTGTTGGAGAGTAAACCCACACCATATACAATTCGAGAACGAAGTTTTGCTCGCGATTACAACCAGTTTCATTAGGCGATTAGCCAGATTCAAACCCACGACCTCCTGCAATCTAGGAGAGGTAGTTAACATTTCACCACCGCGGCGCCTAATTCAGAGACCCCTCTCTGAAACTTCAGAGAGATAAGTCTCTAAATGGATCATATAACTGTATTGTGTATGGCCATCGTCCACATTTACCCTCGACAACCCATTGTATTATTTTGCATGGCTTATGTAGAGCATCTACAGGTGACCCATAATGATTGCACAACGACACATACAGTGATCCCCTGCTGATTTTGTACGTTTGCCCACTGACAAAGAAATGATCAGCCTATAATTTTAATGGTAGGTTTATTTGAATAGTGAGAGAGAGAATAACAACAACAAAATCCAGAAAAACGCATGTCAAAAATGTTATAAATTGATTTGCATTTTAATGAGGGAAATATGTATTTGACCCCCTCTCAATCAGAAAGATTTCTGGCTCCCAGGTGTCTTTTATACAGGTAACGAGCTGAGATTAGGAGCACACTCTTAAAGGGAGTGCTCCTTATTTCAGTTTGTTACCTGTATAAAAGACACCTGTTCACAGAAGCAATCAATCAATCAGATTCCAAACTCTCCACCATGGCCAAGGTCAAAGAGCTCTCCAAGGATGTCAGGGACAAGATTGTAGACCTACACAAGGCTGGAATGGGCTACAAGACCATCGCCAAGCAGCTTGGTGAGAAGGTGACAACAGCTGGTGCGATTATTCACAAATGGAAGAAACACAAAAGAACTGTCAATCTCCCTCGGCTTGGGGCTCCATGCAAGATCTCACCTCGTGGAGTTGCATTGATCATGAGAACGGTGAGGAATCAGCCCAGAACTACACGGGAGGATCTTGTCAATGATCTCAAGGCAGCTGGGACCATAGTCACCAAGAAAACAGTTGGTAACACACTACGCCGTGAAGGACTGAAATCCTGCAGTGCCCGCAAGGTCCCCCTGCTCAAGAAAGCACATATACATGCCCGTCTGAAGTTTGCCAATGAACATCTGAATGATTCAGAGAACAACTGGGTGAAAGTGTTGGGGTCAGATGAGACCAAAACGGAGCTCTTTGGCATCAACTCAACTCGCCGTGTTTGGTGGAGGAGGAATGCTGCCTATGACCCCAAGAACACCATCCCCACCGTCAAACATGGAGGTGGAAACATTATGCTTTGGGGGTGTTTTTCTGCTAAGGGGACAGGACAACTTCACCGCATCAAAGGGATGATGGACGGGGCCATGTACCGTCAAATTTTGGGTGAAAACCTCCTTCCCTCAGCCAGGGCATTGAAAATGGGTCGTGGATGGGTATTCCAGCATGACAATGACCCAAAGCACACGGCCAAGGCAACAAAGGAGTGGCTCAAGAAGAAGCACATTTAGGTCCTGGAGTGGCCTAGCCAGTTTCCAGACCTTAATTCCATAGAAAATCTGTGGAGGGAGCTGAAGGTTCGAGTTGCCAAACATCAGCCTCAAAACCTTAATGACTTGGAGAAGATCTGCAAAGAGGAGTGGGACAAAATCCCTCCTGAGATGTGTGCAAACCTGGTGGCCAACTACAAGAAACGTCTGACCTCTGTCATTGCCAACAAGAGTTTTGCCACCAAGCACCAAGTCATGTTTTGCAGAGGGGTCAAATACGTATTTCCCTCATTAAAATGCAAATCAATTTATAACATTTTTGACATGCGTTTTTATGGATTTTTTTTGTTGTTATTCCGTCTCTCACTGTTCAAATAAACCTACCTATAAAATTATAGACTGATCACTTCTTTGTCAGTGGGCAAACGTACAAAATCAGCAGGGGATCAAATACTTTTTTTCCCTCAAATGTACAATATGTGCTGCTGAAATGAGATGCACAGTTAAATGCCCCACCCTTCTCATGGCGGGGTTTGTCTAATCCAGATTAGCCTTGTTTATCACACTTTAGCTAAATGACTCTCATTTACATTAGAAAATTATAATATCACGTAAATTGTAGTTTCATAATTGTAATATATAAAGCTAATGAAACCCGCCCTTAATGAGAGAATGTGGTACCCCCGTTAAAAATAATAATTTTATCTGCCTTCAATAGTAAATTACATGGTGAAATTAATGATGGATGGTTCTGTATGTGAAATTTACGTTAATGTATTAAATATATCTGCCACACTTGAGTTGAGCACTGAAAATTCAAGAATTGCATTTTTTTTATCACATTGGCATTCATTAATCATGATTAGTTACAAGACATCTTAAAATGTTTAATAACGTTTCTTTCCCAAAATATAATACATTCTTAATTAACTATGTGAAATGCTAGGTTTCCGTGATACTTTGATAAGTCTCTTTAAACAAACAAATGGTATTCATCATATTGTCATTTTACGTGACACCGTAATGTCACAGAGTTTTTCATGTTAAAATCTGTAGCATTATTTCAAAATGTGATAATATGACCCGGAGAATATGTCGCAACTTAATGAACAAATGCATGACTGGGCAGACACCCGAACATTTTGTAATTAATGACGCCCAATAAAGTACGGATATCGCAATGTGTAAAAATATCTGGAGCATATTATATATCAATAGCTAATATACCAGTATGAATGTAGTTAACATTTTTCATAACTCCAAATTGTATTGTAATTGTGCTTATCAGCATCACAACGGGAGATGAAGACATTTTATGAAGAAATTATTACATGAAGCAGTGGATCGCCTTGTATCAGAGAATACCTCTTTCGACATGACGACACCCCCAACACTACGGTATATCTGCATTTACTCCAATAGACCTCAATATCCACACTAGGGGCACAATCTACATATGCTCTGCCAGGACTGTCACGTGTAAATGAAATTAAAAAATACGTGTTCATCGAGGCAGTTACTGATGACTATGATCAGACCACCAGATGACTATAATTTTGAGAACAGTATTTTGCCTGCCCAGATTTAAACCCTGGAACACAGCGGTGTTGTTAGAGTGCTTGGCATGGGATGTGAGCTTCAGAGGCACCTGGCCACCAGCGTGGTGGCGCTTGTTGTTGTTGCTTCAAAGCCAGCAAAAGGAGGTTAACTTTTTGCAGGATCATTGGCATCGAATTAAGCTTCAGGAAATCAGATTCCATGAAATGGTCAAGTATCAAAGCTGTAATTTAGCCTCTCGCACCCCTGGGGGTACGATATGCCCTTTCTGGGAGTGCGAAACAAATATAGCACGGGCACGTAAGTACAGCTACTTTATTTCATCAAACCTATGTATTATTCACATTATAACAAAAATAAACTAACGATTCAGAACCAAAGGGGTGCAGGCTGCAGCAAATGTTGAGAGCCACTATTGTAGGGGGATCGTGTTGCCCCCTTGTGCGCATGGCTTTTCTCTGGATGCTCTTATTTCCTCCTACATGTATAAACATGTTAAAATACAAACCCAATGTACGACCCTCCCAAAAAAAGAGTCCTACGTCTCAGTTTGGCTTTCTTGGATAAATAAGTCAACTATTTTTTTTTTTTACAAGTCATTGGTGACCAGGCTGTGACCATTAACTTTCTACATTTGAGAACCCAGTTTATTCATTGGCAGCTATCTGGATTTGAACCCAGACACCTGAGCCACCCATCCACCTTGTATAAGGAGTTTTGTCAATACATTTATCGCAAATATATTACCAGGTGGCTACCAGAACAAAACTGGCAACTCGATGAAGACTGATAAATATTTTCGTCTGATGAATGTTAATATATCCATTTACCAAACCCATTAAAACAATTATCAGGGTCTGGTCTATTCCACCTGTGTTTCAAAAGTTTACTGTTACATTTAAATACAATGTAGCTTATTATGCCATATTCCATACACATGTTTTCTCACTTTAAAATTGATATCTGCAGAGTTGAATTGCGTGCGTAAATCTCCACTTACTCACAAACTGTGACAAGCCTGCGGCTTAAAAACGGCGAAAATCCCAAACAGACAGCTTTGAATTTAAAAATTGATAGTTATAAATTAGCAACTGCAAGTATGGTGAAGTTTTGACAGATGTAAGCACACACATGTCATTTTGAATGTTTTATTTATTTGATATAGTTGTATTATTTAATCTTATATATACTACAGTTTACTAAAAAAAATACACCTAGCTCATTGCATATAACACGTACCAGCTGGTAGGTAGGTATTGGAATCCTTCAGTTACCTTTCACAATAATTACTCTAATTAAGATGGATCAGAAGTAATGTGGCTTTGTGTACCTAAATTTGTGAAATTATTGTTCAATTCCCAGGTTTCTGCATGTTATGAAAATGTGTTCCATTAACACCGATTTTGATTGGCTCAGCCGATTAACTGATGACGAGACAAACATTCCAGTGGTTCAGACCTGCTCAGTAATTACGGTGCCAAACAGGCATTGGAAGCACTTGCGACAACAATGCATTTAAAACTCCACAGCTTAACGACAACTCTGATCAAAGTCTGATGAGCTGACTAGAAGTGACCGAAAGACTCTGCCAAAGTGATTTGTTTGTCAGAAAAAAACAAATCCATGCGAATGGAATAATGGGAAAAAAAACTATCAATAAGTATACATAAGGGTGATGGAGAATGGAATTACAAGAACAGCACAAACATATATTGGGATCGTTTACATGTCACAGCAACCTGCTCTGAAACCACATTAACAAACTAGAAAAGCCCAAATGATGCTTATATTACATTGTGTGATTATCGGGGTCTGTATCGCATGCTGTAATTATGTCATCATGCAATTGGGTTCGGTATTGGGATATTTGGTAAATTATTTTTCCAAGGAGTTTTTTTTATACGTGGAATGAATGTTGTGAAACTCAAGTGGATGAGAAGATACCCCCCTCCTATCCCATCTGTACAGATGAGCCAAAACTCACTTGCCGTTATGCCATCTCCTGGTCTTCTTCCAACTGAGGATGTTGGGTACATGATAACCTACGTCGGGTCCACCAACCATCTCTCAAAAGCACAGGCATGCACCACTATGCCCATAAAATCAGGCACATATACTGTAATCAATACTGTACTTACCAATATTGGGGGGACATTATACAACACTGCATGTAGTTCGCCCTAAGTTTGGTTCCATGTCTATTGATGGCTCTGTAAGACCTGTAGCAGACCATGTGATGGTATTTCTAGATTTGAAGTTTTCGTGACTGCAAGGATCCATACTCTTTGGTTCTTTCGGTAAAGTTACGTAGGTAAAAAAAAATCGCGACGTTTCGGCAGCCTACTTCAGCAACTGTTTTTGCTGTGGTTGTCCCACCTGATGACGGATGCTTGTGTTGAGTCTGAAACGTCGTGATTTTTTTTTGAACCTACGTGACTATACCGAAAGAACCAAAGAGCATGTGATGGTATATTTTATTTACGAGTCTTTAAAACCCTCCCTACCAGGAGTGATCAGTGGTGGAAATCCAATGGATGCAGTTGTCTCATCTTCATTGAATCAACATAGCAATATCAATGTGACTGAAATGTTGCGCTATACAATAACATACAGAGCAGAGCTACGATTAAGGTTACAGAATCTATATTTGTACATTTGTCCATCATGAGCTGCTCACGTGCTTTTTGTTAATCACTTGATATTCTGTTCATACCGTGTTTAAATCATAGACAGGCTTTAAAAACAATTCACACATAATCAACGCAACACTTATCACTAGCTGTCTAATAATTAAAACATATGTAATTGTTTGGATTATATCCATTGCCTGAAGCATCAGGACATTTCTATATATTAAGGATGTGATACTGATTTTCAGATTAATCTGATTGCTCTGTAAGATCTGAAAATACACAAAGCAGGCATAGATGCGAAATTTCAGATGATTAGATTGTTTTTTCTGAAAACATAAGATCACACGGTACATTTTACCTCTGCAAACATGAAGATACAGGACATTATATTCTTCTAAATTATCCAAAACTCCAAAACTAAGAAAACTATCGAAAATTGCCCTTAACATCCCAAATCGGAAATATTTTAATTTGAAATTCATCCTTACTGTATACATGAGTGATGTGTTTGGATGTGAAATTCACGTTGTGTGAGTTAAACTTTTCTGGTTGAATACTTTTTTTTATTGTAAGAAATTTAGTATCTCGGCTCAATTTTCAGTATTTTTTTTATTCATTAGAAATTATGAACGCAATCCGAGTGTGTATATTTATTTCAGTTCTAAGGCAGTGTATGCAGAAACAGCTCCATCACCTGAATGTGCTCGCTGTGCTGCAGCAGCTGTGTGGCCAAGTCCTGGCAGCCGAGGTCACGTGCAGAGGGCCGGTACGTGGTGCTCCCATGCGCGGCTGGGCGAGTGCCCGTACAGCGGTGCCGGGGTTGCGTGCGTCACCCGTGCCGTGCTGATTAGCCCCGTTGTCTTCCCTGAACATGCCACGTACAAGCACACGCTACACACTAGCGGCATGTAACATACGAGCGCACGTCGAATACTTCTTCTTTCTTATGGCATTGTGAAAAGCAACAGTTTTTATTTTTTTCTTAATAATCGTCATAAATGAACGCAAAGGTTCCTCATCCAGTCCAATGATGTGGTTGATGCAGTGTGGATTTCACCGATACCACCAGGATGTACATGGATGGAGCATTCATCGGTGGTGTGCTTGATGGTTTGAACTTCTTCACAGTCGCAATTGGGCGATTCTTTGATCTTCCATTCATGGAACGTATCTGCCTTGTTGTGTTTGAGCACGGTTCAGCGTGGTCCATAGTTGTCGTGGAAGAGAGAATCCCGGTACTTCCACCGTCAGATCATGAATGATGTTTTTGTTTGCCTAGTCCATAGCCGCCCATGATTCAAACCACCGAGTGGCGGTCGGATGTTGGCTGGAGTGATATTCGCCAGCACAGGAATACACGGGAGTAGAGTCGACTTTAGGGAACCGTTGATGATACGAAGCACGTTGTTAATTTAGGCATCGACAAGGTTCGTGTGAGGGCGTGCACCCTACACCAGGGCACAGTACTCTGCAGTGGAGTGAACAAGCGCCTGTGTCGATATCTTCAACGTGCTGGCATCGCTTGCCCATGTTGTTCCTGCAAGTTTGTGAATAATATTCACTCGTGCTTTCGTTTTACCTTTAGCTTGTTTGGGGTGGTGATGAGAGTTAAGCGTCCGATTCAGGGTAACTCCTAGATACCGAGGGTGGTCATCCTGCTTTAGCTTCGCCCCACAGAAGTTAACGTTCAACGTTTTCGAAGCTTGTCTGTTGTTCAGGTGGAAGGCGGAGATGACGCTCGTCGATGGGTTAGGCTTAAGGTGCCAATTCTTGAAGAATTTCTTCCAGAGTCTTCAGATCTTTTTCGAGGACAGCCTCAATGTCCTCCATTTTCCGTGCTTGAGTTGCGAGTGCGATATCATCCGCTTTTGTGAACTTACGACAAGATGTCGCTGGAATGTCGCTAGTAAAGAGATTGAACAGCGCCAGTGCCATAACTGACCCCGTCGGGAGTCCATTTTCACTCTTCGTGAGCTGCTGGCAGCTTCACCAAGGTGAACCATCGGTTGCTCAGCATTTCGGTGATTCGTCTAATTGTCGGGTGGAAAGGCACGGCTTTCGCAAGCTTCAGCGGGAGTCCCTTCCACCATACGGTATCGTAAGCTGAAGAGAGGTCGATGAAAGCTGTTACTTGTTAAGGCAAGCACCTGGTTGCAACAATTTCGACCAGTTATAAATCATGCTTGTTCCTGGGAACTATTTCCTCAAGCGTGGGCATCAGCCTTTTGAGCAGAAGCAGCTCCATTAGTTTGTCGCAGACGCTAAGTAGGGAGGGAGTTTTGAGCATCCAATGCGTCCTTGCCTGGTTTCAGAATGGCTATTATTCTTGACTATTTGCACTCCTTCAGAACGATGCTTGTGGAATGGATGTTAGTGAAGAATGTGGCTAGCCATTTTCTTGCTCTTGGTCTCAAGTTATTGATAAATTCTGGATACATATCGTCAAGACCTGAGGCTTTCTTGCATTTCAACTGGGCAATACCGGCACCTACTTCCACTGAGAATGGACGGAAGAATTCAGAGGTTTCTTGGCAGTTATCTAGCGTGCAACAAAGTTATTATTTGGGTCTTTCGGTAAAGGCATGTAGATAGGTTCAAATAAAATAACAAAATAACAAAAAATACGACAATTCGATCGCAACACAAGTGGTCGTCATCAGGAAAAGGGGGGGGGGGGGGAACCAAAAAATGTGAATTCCTGCAGTCACGAATGCTTTAAGTCAAGATGCAATAAAGTTATTTGTAGACTTGCCATCTTATGCTTTTGTCGATTGAAGTTCGTGAATTGTTTATAAGTTGCCTAGCAATCTCGGCAGGACTGACTTGCAGAAGTTGACAGGCTGGCATCGCGGCAACTCCCATCAACCTCAGGAGGCGCCAGGCTTTTCGGCTCGACTTTGCAAAGCCAAGTGCCTCGACTATTTCGTGCCACCTTTCTCTTTTTTGCAAATTCAGTGACTTGAGTAAGGCTTTTGCAGTCTCCTGCTTCTTATCAGCATGGAATTTCCGGAAAAGCTGTTCGCTTTCTGGAGTCCAACATGGAGTGAAGACCTTTCTGAAGCCTCTTGCGATGTTGGCCTTGGCAACTGCCTTGATGAGACCAACGAAGCGAAGGTAATTGACTGCACGTGGAGGTATCATTCCAACTGATTCTTCCAAGTCCGCAGTGAAATTCACCCATTCCGCTGATCTCAGATTCCAACACGGGTTTGGTACGCAGTGGAAGAGCGGAATCTGAAGACCGATATGGATCACTGCAGGTCTATGATGGCTATTTGGAAAGTCGTCTAGGATTGTTCTCTTCAACGGCATCGGATTTCCGTTCTGGTCCCGAGACACAAAACATAAATCGGGCGTATAGAATTTTTTCCACCTCGCCGACTTGAAAGAACTGCAATCTTTTGCGTCATAGAGCAAGTGTTGGTCTTCTGCCGCTGCCCATGATGTCAGTTGCTCACCAGCTCTATCGTTGGCATTATAGCCCCACAAAGTGTGGTGGCTGTTGAAGTCGCCTATGTGGATGATAGGGTGGCTTGGCTGCAGTAATGCCAGACACGGCCATTCCATACCTGGAGGCTTATAGACATTGACCACTGTCACGTCATTGATCTTGATGGCGATGTAGTGTGGTGAGGTGTGTGGCACGACCTCGACCGTGTTCTTCAGGTCGTTCTTTACACATATTGCAAGGCCATGTTTCGGATGGTGGCTTGCAGAAATGAGAGTGTATCCGATTATCTTTGATCGAGGGCATTGTCAATTCAGATGCGCATCTTCCAGTGCAAGGACGTCAACGTCTTGAAACTGGAGAATCTTCGCGATGTAATCGTATTTCGCACTGGAGAAGCCCTCGATGTTAAGATGCATGATTTGCAGCGACGGACCGACATTCACATTGCTCTGACCTTGTGAAATGATCTCTGGACTGTTGCTTTTCAGGCCGGGATACCTTTGTCAGGCATTCAGCCGTCGGTGTGATGACATTCATTGTGCTTTTGCACGTAGCAGGGAAGACCGAGAGCAGGTTGTCATCTTCTTCTCCATGTCGCATACTAGCAGCATGTAAAATCAAATGTTTCACTCCGGATGACCACTGCAAAGTATGATCTTGTGTTTTGATTATAGTGTGCTGATCTTAAAGGTGCATTGCAAATTTTTGATACTCCTACAGATACTCCTGCTAATTGGTGTTTTACCCTTTTATCTGGCAACAAAACTGACACCTTCTTTACAAGGAGTCATGTTTGCATAGACCACAATACCTGCAATCATAATGCAAACAAAAAACATAACTCTGATAATGTATGCACTGTCCTTGAAGTTGATTGGTCCACACCCGAGACAGCTTTCCTTAGAGCCTAGTCTCACATGGTGTTGGACCAGATGACGCCAAAAGGCGACTCCTTGTAAATAAGGTGTCAGTTTTGTTGCCAGATAAAAGGGTAAAAAAACAATTATCATATTTTTTACTGGCAAATGAGGTTCCAATGGTGATACTCCTGCTGTTATGGAGTGACTCATACAGCCAGCTATGGCTGCAAAGTCTAGTAGTACATTTTATGTATATCGTTTATTGTAAAATTTCAATCACAGTTCCTATGATCACTGTTACGTTGCTTTGATAGTTATTATTGGGTGATTTCGAAAACTTTTTGGTTTAGCCATATTTAATCTAAATTGTCTTATGGTTGTTATTGTTTTACTTACATCGCACTGTGATTTTTGCACACAGCATTGATATACGGTGCTTTTTCTGGAAGACTTTGCTGTTTTTTCCTGGATTTTTCTGTTTGCGCATAGTCACTTTAAGATGTTTCTTGTTCATGTTTTTGTTTGTTGCGGTTGCACCCAATTCAGGAGCCGAATGGCTCACAGGGCTATACCAAATAAATGAAACTGAAAACTGAAATAAATGAAACTGAAATGTTACAGGCGAGCACACATCGCATACTAGCGGCATGTCACATACAAGCACACACTTCACATACTAGCGCGCATCACATACGTGCACACGCCACATACTAGAATCTACCACCTACAAAATGCGCTCCTGTGGCCATCTGGAATGCTCTTCCTTCCGATATTAGGAAGCCACTTGAGGTATGCACTTTCAAATTAAGATTGAAAACAAATTTGTTTAACTGCTTGTTGTGTTTACTTTGTTGTCCTTTCCCCGCACCTCTGATTAGCATGGTTGGCTATGTATGGAGAGAATGAAGTTGAACATAATATATGTGTAGTGTCAACGATTTAGAGACAGAGTTTCCATGAGGCACTTTCTTCATTACCAACTCCCACGGTCTCGTCCACACACTCTCCACAGTAGCTTAGCCTAGCCTGTACACAACACTAGCCGTCTAACACTGACGGCGCTGACTGAGATAGCCAACTTCTATCTTCGTAGCGCAAAATCTAGCGGAGACGTTAAGCGACGACAGGTGACGAGACGACAACAACGACGAGACGAGTCTACTCCCAGAACCGGCAGCCTCGAGCCCCCCGCTCTCGGCTCTTTTTATGCTACCAGCGCGGCCTGGCTCCGCCCTGACCACGCCTCCCTTCTCGAACCCGCTAGCAGGTTCCAGGGGCCTCCAGATAGGGTCCTCCAAGACCCTTACCCTAGTTCCTCCTCTCTGCCAACACACCGTTTCACACCCTCACTGGCGTGTGTATGGTCTGTCCACCACAGTTGCTACTGCTGTCCACCAGCTGGCACTATTGCACTACACATGCAAGCACATGCTACATTTAAATAGGAGGGAGCCCTCCAAACATAATTTATACTTAGGGCCCCAGATGGGTTAGTGGCACCACTGTCTCCACTGCTGAAGAAACAATTCCACAGGCAGATGGGGAAGTGGCTCAGGAGGGTAATAGAATTGTCAGAGCGCTAAGTTTATGTCAGAAAATGAATAAATCAGTATATTTAAATAGCCTTAAAATGTTAACATTTTACATATTGTATAAAGTAGTCGTAAAGTAAAAGTAGCCTGACGTTCAAACACCACTGCTAATGAAAAAGGATATGTTAATTAAAGTTTATTTTAACCAACTAAGAACTCAAGATACCAGGATGTCTCATTGGTAAGAATGAACCTGTGGCATTAATATGCAAGTAAGGGGCGATTGAGTAATTTGCGGTGTAATTTTGGAAATTTGGCAAATTTGGACCTCGATTCCGGCACACAGCCAGCACACAATGGCCCTGCTCTTGCGAATTACATCAGGGGCTCTTTGACTTTCACTTTGAAGCAGACGGCGTGCAGTATTATGGTTGTTACAGCCGCAGTAATAACCAGCATGGTCGCTGGATTCGCGTCACCTCCGTGGTTTTGAAGCATCCTTTAAAAAAATATATAACCACTATTTCACCTGAAATGGCTTCAAAAGGTCATCGGCTAAATATCGAATTAATATTTGTGCCATTTGCTTGTATTTTAGTTTTGTTGTCACGATATTTATTTAATCCACTCCCAACAAACGCTTCAAGGATGCTTTGTGGCTGCGGAATTTTGAAAGGGGTTGATGTTCTGGTCCATAGGTGAAAGTAAATATTATTTTTAATTCCCCACAAGATACAATTTTATTTATTTCCATGGACTTGCCTTCTGCTCTGAAGCAAAAACAATCACAGGAAACACTCGCCAATTTTATATTTTATCCATTATAAGTTTGTGTTCAAATGCAATTATGCCTGGTATAGCAGACTAGGAAAAGGCATTTTTTTTTCAGTGGATATTCATGCAGTCATCCAGGTTCTCACAAACTGAAGGCTTTATAATAATAATAAAAAATATTAAACATTGAACAGTTTTACTGAGATTGAATAAATTAACCAAATATAAAAGAGCAGTCAAGGAAGGTGATGATACCCTCCTACGAAGGCTATAATTGGATTGGAGAAATAAAGGCAAATAAGTGGTAAAAGTGGAGTGGGTATTGTTAGCGTAATCAGCCGTCACCACTACTGACCTGGTGTAGCGCCAGCCATGGGTCAACAGGGAGCAACAGCGAGTCCGGCCTGTACTAAGTTATGCCGTTAGGCCAGGGAACCCAGAGGGTGGTTGAGAACCGGATTATGCAATAGTCCAGCTCCCTCCAGAAGGTTCTAGAGAGTAGGCGTGGCCAAGGGCAGAGTGACCCTGGGAACTGTAGAAAAGCCGGACCTCTGAACGGGTTTGCCAGTCGTCGTCAAGCTGAAGATCTGAAGAGCCAGCCTAGAATAGGACCCTGGGAACCCCCGGACACGACGTCCTTCTAAAGGGCGGGACTGAGTGGGCCAGTGGCTGGGACCCGAGGACCTTGGCTGGGTCGGGTCAAGCTAGCCTCCCCAAGGTCCCCCTAGCCGGAGGGCTGAGATATATAAGGATCGTCCCAGTGAGTAGGACACGCTAGCCTGGAGGCTATACCCCTTTGTGTCAGGAACCTTGTGTTATCGTTACAAATTAACGTGTTGCCGCCAGACAAGACTGAGTCTCCATCATTACCACTACAAAAGTAATACATATTTCCGATACGCTGATGACACATTTTACAACAAAAGGTGATGAACTAAAGGCATTGATTGAAAAAAAAACCTTAACAGCAACAAAGTGGAGCCGAAGATCGAGTATGAGCAAAACAAAAGTTACGTACAAAAGCACTGGAAAAAAATAAATAATTGGGGCGAGAAAGCATGTATAGCTCAATCAATTATGAGGTAAAACAATAAAATGTATGAATAAGTAGATAATCGAGCGCAGGATAGAGTGGTTTGGGAACTTTTATTTATTTATTTGATAATTAACAGAAACAGACTGATGTGCCTGGTGAAAATGCTTTTCAATCAGTGAATATTGTGTGCTCTTCTTCTTGGTTCTTTCGGTAAAGTTATGTAGAAGGGAAATAATAAAATAATAAAAATAAAACATAATAAAATAATTCTCACGAGGTTACGGGAGACAGCGTCTGAATGCTGTCTCCCCGACAGACCTGGTCTTCACCTGAGGACGGCTGCTTGCGTTGTGGCCGAAACGTCGTGAGAATTATTTTATTATGTTTTATTTTTATTATTTTATTATTTCCCTTCTACGTGACTTTACCGAAAGAACCAAGAAGATGAATCCCTGCAGTCACGAAAGCTTTAAATCGAAATTGTGTGCTCTGACATATAAATCGGAAACATGAACTCTGACAGAGAACACGGGCAGACATCGGAAAGGTTTTCAAAGAGACGTGTGCTGGAAATGACACTGAAAAAGGAGCACATGCAAATTAGAGAAAATGTTGATTGCGAAAATGCTGAGCGTGCTTTGCTCGGGTACATTGCTGTAAGGAGTGATGGCTTATAGATGGGAGTGGTGGCAGAATGGCAGCCAAAAGAGAGAACACACATTAAGAGGATGACCACTTTGGGGACAGAGTGATGATGCATATGTATTTTTAACAACAATGCTAATCGGAGGTACAATATATAATGTGGCATTGTAGGGACCGATAGGGATAGCAACGATGTGGAAGACCATCACCCAAAAGTGGATAGATCATGGCTACTGCTGATAATGATGAAGTTGGTGTTAAAAAGGACGGTTATTTATTTTCGGTTTATGTTTGCAAATAGTGCTGTCTCTTCAATATTTGGATATCTGTGAAAAAAGAGCTTCAGAGCTCATCAGATTCCTCTGTATAAATGTGCACTAAATTGCACTCGTTCATTGCGAACGCTTGACACTTTATCCATGTGAATGGCATTGTTCAAAGGTAGGGAACATGCCAAATTGTTACTGTGTAGCGTTTCAATAAAAAAAAATGTACACCCCTACTGTGGGGTGAAGGGTTAACTTTGAGCAGTTATTTTCTTTAATATGAAGCATACATTCATAAATGAATGTTTAGTTTCATGGGAAATTGCACATGCTATTCCATTCGCCAGCAAACATTGAATATTCTGAGACGTTCTTTAAAAAGTGTACGACTGTGCACATGATTCAGGGCTAAACAGTAGCATAATATGATATCTTGAGTTAGGACGAGACAGCTCTGTAAACACACAGATTTTTATTCAGGTTTGTGCACACTAAAATAATACCACCCAGCTATGTAATGGTGAGCACACTGGACATGCAGACACAACACTTGCATTGCTTGGAGCTGGTTACTTCAGAATATTGCATAAGCAAAACTTTAGTAACTTTTTAAAATATTACATGTATCAAATGAGTGTTGGATAACATGAGACAACCATGAATTAGAATGAGCTGATGTGACATTTTTTGGTGTGGACATTACATCTGGTATATTCTCCAAATAATACAATAATGATGAAAGGTGAACGTGTCTCCATGCACCGTGCTCAAATGAAAGTTGGATGTTCCTGAGTGATTGGTAGAAATTCCTGATTCCTATGGTGGGGATCAGTCTCATAGGGTAATCAAAACATAATTGAGTCAAATAGTTCTAGTGTTTGGCTGCTTTATCAGGGAAGATGTAGAGTAGTGCTCATCTGTTGCCAGAATTGAAATGCCTAGTGTCAGACCGAGTCCATATTCAGGGCAAGCATTACATATTACATTTAAATGTTTTTGTTTTATAGCTTGCAGATATATAAAATGACAAGATGTAACCCAAGTCGCCCTTTGCAAGAGGCAATACTTCATGTGCTTCAGTGAGTTTATTTCATATGGTTACCGACCGATGATAATAACAAATAACACCAGTTAATGCATTTAATTATTTTCTTGACATTTCCATAAGGAAGTAAAAGCGTAGTTTTTTGGCCGTGCCCTGCATTTTTCCCATAAGGGACCAAGGGGCGTGCATTCACACATTCACGTATTTCCTCGCTCGTGCATGTTTGCATCTCGGGTGCGCCTTTGCCGCGCAGCGGTACCTGTTTGAGCCGCCAATTTGAGGATGGAGTCGGCCTGGGTCTGGGGGCTCATTGTGCCACAGTCTTCGAACTGCACACTGTGGGACACCCCGATGGTGTTGGCGTTGCTCTTTATCCCACACAGCAAGGCTGTGGCCGTACACGCAGACTCGGGAACTTGCCTGTCCACACAGTATGTCTGCGAGGAAATAATTGATGAATACAAATGCTATATTTCTTATATGAAGAAATTTTTTTGTTTAAAACAGAAAGTATAAACGTGACGTTACAGGGCACATCTCAGTTACATACAGTTTTGTGGATTCTTTAAATGTTATGCAACACTGTATTTTCAACAACATAAATGTGTTGATTCACTCTTCAACACACCGGTGGGCTAAAGTAGTGAACTATTTGTCTTTTGTTAACGTGACACATTTTTTACTGTTTGGCCGTGTCGGGTGATGGAGAGTTACGACACATGTGTAGAGGTGTAATTGCGCATGTCTACGAATGTTGAGGTGTGATTATGCATGGCCACGGATGGCCAACAAACACAAGGGGCGGGGTTACGGCCGTACACAAGGGTGGCGCTCGCACCGACGTCCGCATGTGTATCCCCCACGGGCCCCCCCCTTGGGGGCAAGTCCTATAAAAGGTGATGAGCCGAAAGGCTCGGGAGTCGGGACTCAGCTATAACCAGAGAAGACGGAAGACCAGCTAGTGTAGGCCCCAGAGCTCCCCTGGCTCGCTGTCCTTATAAGGGCCGACCAGGGCAAGCCGGTGGCGTGGCCCCGAGAGCCCAGACGAAGCTGGTCTGGTGACTCAGGGAGCCGGGATCCCAGCTTAACCAAGCTGGGACAGATAGCCTCCCCTAGTCCCGTAGTGGAGGAATTGGTATAGGTTAGAGGGGTTAGCTGTCGAGAAATCCCTGTAGCCCAGTGACCTGTAAATAACTGTGTTGGTGTAATAAATAAGTGTGCCTCCGATCCTGTCGTCAAGCCTCCATATACTTACTACATCTGGTGTCAGAAGTAAAACGTCCAAACGATGGACACACGAGGGACGACACGTACCAAGGAGTCGGAGATGGAAGACGCCGCGGCCGATTCAACACCAGAGATGGCCGGGGTCGGATCGGAGCAGCCGGGGCCAAGTACGCCCGTGCCGCTACGACAAGAGGGGGGGGATGCGTCGGCTGAAGGACTCCGGCTGGCCCACTCCCGCCTGGCGGAACTGCTCTACGCCGCCGCCGCTGCGTTGGAGGAGATCACGCGGCTGGGGGCTGGAGGGGCAGCGCGGGTCGACGACAGCAGCCGGCGCGCGGCAACGTTTCCCGCCACCCCGACGCGGCTGGCGGTTAAATTTCCCGCCATCTCTACAGTGCGAGCGGACGGCGGGGCCGGCCCGCGTCACGTGACTGCTGAGCGCCAAGCACAAGCCGTGACATCATCAACACCGGCCGGCGCGTCAACATCGGAGCGACCGGCGATGCCATGTGCACAGCCCGCCCACACTGTATCATCGGCGGGGAGCGACGGAGAGCGATCTACAGCCACGGACGTCGCCTTGCAGCAGCGTCTGCCACCTCTGAAAGAATTCGTAGGCGCAGACGGAGACTGGGGCGGCTTCAAGAGACGGTTCATCGCTCATCAGGAGATGGCGAACTGGACGGACGCCGAGGCTCTACGCGCGCTGCCAGCGATGCTGGACAACGACGCCCTGGCTACCCTCACCTCGGCGCCGAGGGAAAAGCGCGCCACCCTACACCTGGCGTTGCAGCTGCTGTCAGCCGTCTATGGGCCGCCTTCGGACTGCAGGCAGCTTTTCCACGATCGGCGTCGGGGCACCAACGAATCACCTCTGGCCTTCCGGACTGCTCTCCTGGCTCTAGCGAAGGCTGCTTTCCCAAGGATGGACGAGGAAGGAGTGGATGCCATGGTGGCTGAGAAGCTGCTGCTACTCGCTGATGAGCTGGACGTCAACGTCCTGGCTCAAGACGACTCAGAGATGTCGTCCCTGCTGGTCGCGCGCCACATCCACGGGGGCTTGCGGTCCCTTCGTCGAAAGGCGGCAAAGGGGGCGGCCAGCCATGCCATGGCGGCTACCGCCCTCCCATCGGAGGAGGTCTGCGGGGTGGAGCGGCGAGGGGAATGGAGAGCGGCAGTACCACAGGCTCGGAATGGACCGAGCCGCCAGGAGCAGCCCAGGACATCGGGGGCGCTCACACGCTGCTACAACTGTGGCCTGCAAGGCCACGTTGCGTCAGGATGCCGGGCTCCCCGTCAGCGCGGGGCGACACCTCGCCAGGACGCCACGCCGTCTCCTCCCAAGCTCCAGCAGAGAAATACGGCGAGTCGCGGCACCTCACACGTTTGGCCCACGCACACATCCGACACACACTCACGCGCCCAACTAAACAAGGCTCCAAATTCCCCATCCGTCGCGCGCGATCGTTCGGTAATGCGGCGGGCGCTCCAACCGGGTCAGTGGTCGGAGCTCGCCCATCGTGTCGTTGCTGCGTCGGCGGGATCTTCGGTCGTGGTCGGTCACATTGATGGGGTAGAGGTGCGGATTTTAATTGACACAGGGGCATCGGCGACCATTATATCTGATTTAATTTATAACATCCTTCCCGTTCAAAGTCGTCCCTTGCTCCCTGTTGACGTGCCGTGCTATGCCGCTAACGGGGGCTCTCTGGGCATTATTGGCCAAATCCGCGCCACTATCTGCATTGGGGACATTAAATTATCCGGGCCTGTTTTGGTTTCCTCCTCACTCGCGGTTCCGTGCCTGTTGGGGACAGATTTTCTGGCCAAAATGCCCATCCGCATCCTTATTGACCAAGGGTGCATTGAGCTCCCATCGGGCCGACGCGTTACATTTCTGTCTTCCCCCACCACGGAGCGTCGGGCGTTTGCCACCGTGCAGGCGCTCGTCACAAAAACTGTGCGCGTGCCTCCGGGGGCTCAGATGCTCGTCCCTCTTAGATTGCGTCGGCCGTTTAATGAAGGGGTTGCGGATCGGGGGGTCTTGTTGGGACCATCTCGGGCCGGGGTAAATGGACCAGATTTGCTCGCGGCTCAGACCATGGTGAGGGGGGATGGGGACCCCTTCATTGCAGTCCTTAATGTGGGATCGCGAACGGCCGTGGTTCCTCAAGGGACCGTGCTTGCACACGCAACGCCGGTACCCTATGAGGAACCACTCGTGGGTCAGGTATCCACCGATCCTCCGTCGCGACCGCATTCGGACTGTGATGACGGTTGGCTGGATGCGCTTTGCGCGGGTTCAGTGGACCTGTCCGACTCGCAGCGCGCGCAGCTGCGAGTTCTTCTGAGCGAATTTGCTGACGTTTTTAGTCAACACAAATTTGATATTGGTTGTACTAAATTGCTGCGACACCATATTGACACGGGTGACAGCGCGCCAATCCGCCAAAATCCCTTTCGGTTGAGTCCCGCCGAAAAGGATCATGTCAAATCGGCTATTGATGACATGCTAGCCGCCGATATCATTTCCCCTTCCAATAGCCCGTGGGGCGCGCCGATCGTTTTGGTGAAAAAACACGACGGATCACTGCGGTTTTGTGTCGACTTTCGGCGTCTGAACAAAATCTCTGTGGCAGATGCGTACCCGCTTCCTCGAATGGATGAGTCGCTCGATGCCTTGGCGGGGGCGCGATTCTTTTCCACCCTCGATTTGCTATCTGGATTCTGGCAGCTTCCTCTGGATGACGAATCAAAACCTAAGACTGCTTTTCGGACACCGCAGGGTCTCTTCCAATTTAACCGCTTGCCGATGGGTTTACATTCTGCGCCGGCAACTTTTCAGCGGTTAATGGAATTGGTCTTGGCAGGGTTGCAATGGGATTCGTGTTTGATTTACTTAGACGATGTCATCGTCTTTAGCAAATCCTTCGAGGAACACCTCCAGAGGTTGCGTGCTGTTTTTCTCAAAATGCGGGCTGCCAATTTGAAATTTAAACCACAGAAGTGCCATTTACTCCGCGAATCGGTGCGATATTTGGGTCACATTGTTGGGCGCTCGGGGATATCCACTGATCCCGCCAAAACGGAATGCGTCAGCTCCTGGCCGACTCCCACCTCTGTGGGAGAGGTCAGGAGTTTCATTGGGTTCGCGTCGTATTATCGGCGATTTGTGGCTGACTTCGCTACGATTGCGAAACCTTTGCATGCCTTGACGTCCAAGGGAGTCAGGTTTCATTGGGGGCCGGAGGAGGAGGCTTCTTTTCGCGCCCTCCGGAATGCTTTGGTGGGGGCGCCGCCGTTGAATTACCCGGATTTTTCACAACCCTTCTTGCTCGATACAGATGCAAGTAACACGGGCATCGGGGGCGTGCTGTCCCAGCTCATTGGGGGCGTAGAGCATGTGGTGGCTTACGGTAGTCGGGTACTGTCTCCAGCCGAACAGCGGTACTGCGTTACCCGTCGGGAATTATTGGCGATTGTTTATTTCATTCAGCAGTACCGCCCGTATCTGTACGGTCGGCGGTTCACCGTCCGTACAGATCATGCGGCCCTACAATACGCCCTGCGGGTTCAACAACCATCGGGCCAGTTGTCTCGATGGTTGGAGATTCTCCAAGACTATGACTTTGTCACCACATATCGTAAGGGTCTCCGCCACACGAACGCTGACGCCCTGTCGCGATTGCCACCCACTTCGGAGTGCGCGTGCCTCTTGGGTTCGGGGCGTTGTAGGTCTCCGAACGTCACCACCGATTCGGTCCTCGTGGCCGCTGCCGATGCACCTTCGGTTTCGGGTCCTATCGAGCAAGAAGGGAGGGATTCGTTGCTGGGGTTGTCAGTCGCGGAATGGGGTCGCCTCCAAATGGAGGACACCTCCCTCCTCGCTCTGCGCCGTCGCGCCGGGGGGATTGGCCAGGGGGTGGAAAACGTTGACTCGTGGGGGTTGTTCCAGGGACTTTTGATGCACTGGAATGGTAAAACCCGGCGCCAGCGGCTCGTGGTGCCTGCTGCTTTAAGGGGTAAGGTGGTATGGGCTGTTCATGAGCGGCTTCTGCACTTGGGGGTTCATAAGACCTTTGCCACGCTCCAGCTAGATTTCTTCTGGCCGGGCATGGAAAAGGACGTGGGGGACCTCTTGGGGTCGTGCACGCAATGCGCGCAGAGGAAGCCACCTGCTAGGGGATCCAACCCTCCGCTGCAGTCCATA